CGTTGTAAGAAGCGCGATGTACTTGTTTTGGTGTTTTCTGCCTTCCCAAGATTTTCCCGCACGCATCGGGGGGGAAGATGTTTGCGTTTTTTAAGGCGTGTCCATTGATAAAGACGTCTTTCTCTTGGCAGTTTTTCGAGGTAGCAGCAAAAATGGTGAGAAGAGGAGGGAAGAAAATCTCCTTGAACTTGCCTAAATTCAAATCGCATCGATAAGAAAACTCGGGGCACGCTTAATGACATGTAAATTTCGATATTTCTAATACGTTGTATCTATCAATGGTATGGAATCTTAATGAGTAGTAAACTCATTTTTATTGCGCATAAAAGTGGTCAAGCGCTCATTTTGGATGCGGCGAATCCCGTATTCAGATCATAGTCTCTTGCTCCGGGTAACGTTGGACACTGTACCATTGGGGTATTGATGGCATGTATCCTTTGAGATCGTCATTTTCAAGCGGTAATAACGATTATTGTGATTAAGTATATATTATGGCGGATTATTATCATGGACTTTTATAAGAATTGTTACAATTGAACATGTAATTAGTCGGTCATTTGAAAAATGAAATTGATGGAAAATGCGTGAAAGATTATGCTTCGTTCTTGATGGGCCAAAAAGAAAGAAAGGAGCCGGGTGTTAAGAGGTAGATTAGAGGAAATAAGCCTGCAAGCTCTTCTCTATTTAGACTGATGAACTTTATCTATTTTGTTTACTTGGCCAAAAATTATCCGAGAAGTTTTATATATTGTACGGTGACTGATTCAGTCATAAACCTTTCAATTGTATCATTTTAGTCTTAAATATTTTGATAATTTGCCAATTTAGCCGTTGCGGCTAATTATGATAGGAAATAACTAACGTGGCGGTCTAGCCAATGTTGGCCGGCCAGCACTGATGTAGATAATTTTTTTAAAAAAAATTATGAGTTTTTTTTTCTTCTTTTTTCCTTTTTCTTTTTCCTTTTCCTTTTTTCCCTTTTTCTCTCCACCGGCCATCACCATGCCACGTAAGACATCCAACACTGACTAGACCGCCACGTCAGTGATTTCCTGCTAAAATTAACCGAAATGATTAAATTGGCAAATCGTCAAAAGATTTAAGATTAAAATTAACACAATTGAAATGTTAATGACTGAATTGACCACTGTACAATAAGTTTAGGACTTTTCGGACAATTTTTCCTATTTACCTGTGTGTTCTATGTGTCTGCATATATTCTTTTCCATATAAAGGTACATATGTGAGAGCGTCGGTGAACGAAGCCCCATATAAGATAAATAATAAAGGATGAAATAATCAAACGTGCACAGTTGGCTAATGACTCAATAATTTAACTTTTTCGATGGTTCAATGGATATTTTAACGTGCTTAAAATCGGGTCTTTCCATTGGATGGAGGTATTAGACTTCTATCATGCATTTTATCATGTGATTTCGAGCCAACACTAGAACTTTATGATAAAGAAAAATAGTTTCCATTAAAATCATTTTCAAGAAAAATGTTTAGTTTTAATTTATTCAGTGATTTAGGGAAAATAATCTTCTTCTTGTCAGAAGAGAAAGTCGTTTTTTCTCCAATCTAAACTTATTCATTCTCAGTCCATGCAAAATGTTTTTCATACATCGATTAATTTTCCGTCATCCAAATACCGAAAAGTCGGAAAACAATTTCCCAGAAAAACAGTTTTCTTTTAAACAAATGGATCCTTAACAGTTTTCACTTGAATATGAATATACTTCCAAGGTTTTTCCCCATTATTCAATAATGGAATACAAATGAAGATCGATTTGCTCAATTAATAATTTGAATGATATGACAAGTTGCGAATGGATCTTAAAGTAAAAGGGACATATTCAAAAGTCAATAAAAAATTGTCACATTGTGTAATACATTAACCCAATAAATTCATATTGCTATTCCTTGTACCACCTTTTTTCTGACCGGCATGGTAGGCACGTGGGTGCATATGAAAAAAATTCTTACGTGACTCAGGCATACGTGACCCCACCTCTCGTGCGCCGTTGAATAACGCCAGCCCCATCTCGAATGTACATGATTTGGCGCGCATTTGCTTTGGACTCGAATGTGTTGAGATCATGTAATTATCACGGACGGACCGGAGCGACGCAGAAATTCTCCCGTACTCATATATCCTTATGAGTGGAGCTTAGTAGGGTCGGGGTGAAGAGCGAATGCTGCAGAATGGATAATACAACTGATTTGTGAGAGTGTGTCGGAATGTTTGTACTAGGAGTTTCAGGATATAACGGTTATAACTCTAAGAAATTCTGAAGGCGGGGTTAGCCTCTCGTGCACAAACTGATCGGGAGCCGATGCCGCTTTCCTGATGAGGCCATGGCAAATCGAAACCAATTGTGTGTGTGCCTAAAGTGTTCTGTGTGTCTCGCTCGAGGGACTAGATACTCGAGCTAAGTTGGGCGGTCGATACAAGAATACTACAGCTCTCGGAAACAACTGTAGAATGAAGGTTGGCCAGGTGTCATCTCGACTCGTTAGGCGCCGCACAAGCAATTTTCGCGGCCAAGGAACTGCTGGCCTATGACACAATAACATCTCTTATAATGGAGAGCGGCAAGCTAGCGTTAGGACATCTCGTATCATTTAAGAATTTCATAGTAATAGAAATACACATCGAGGAAATGAAACAGCACGGCTTTTTAATGAGATAATTCACCAGCAAGTGGCGCTGCGCCGGGTCAGAATCACTATCATCAACGTGGGCACTACAGAAGTTTAGATTTCAAAAACGTCATCGATGGATGTTTAGATTCTTTCGACGCACTCCATTGTTGTCGGTCCAGAGTGGTTATCTCCACCTGCGCTTTCACCTCCCTCTTACGAGAGAGATGCTGACAAACAGTAAACACCAACCGGAGTTCATGGGGAAAAACGAAGTGGGTGAGAAGAAAAAACGGCAAAATGAATGTAATAGTCCTTGAACTTTGGGTTAATACATAATTTAGTCTATGAACTTTTAATTTATTTAATGTAATCCCTGAACTTTATCAAAATATTTGATGTGGTCCCTGAACTTTTAATTTGTTCAATGTGATCCTTGAACTTTTGGCACACGTTTAATTTAGTCCGTGAACTATATGAAAATATTCAATGTAGTCCTTGGATTACATTGAACGTGTTCAAAAAGTTTATAGATCACATTGAATAAATTAAAAGTTCGGGGACCACGTTAAATATTATGTTAAAGTTCATGAATTATATTGACAAATTAAAAGTTCATGGATCAAATTGCACATTAGGCCAAAGTTCATGGACCGTTTATGTCATTATCCTAAAGAAAAATTAAAATATGTTTGAGTTGCTGCTCGAGTGAAAAGACGAAGAAGAGAGAGGAGTAAAAAATTAGAAAAAGAAAGCTAAGGGGTGGAATTTATAGATCCATTTGTAAGAAAGCTAACGGCGAAGCTCGAGATACTTGGTACATTGACTCCATTCTCCATGTAGCATCTTTACTATTTTGACAAAGCAAGATTTCCACAAGCAAAAGGTAAGAGCTTTTGCAACATGTATGTATCTTGGGCCTCGTTTGGTCCCATTGACAAGAAATTTATGATGGATATTTGGACTATAGAACCGGCATGGTTGGATAGATTGCATGATTGGATACTAGATGTCGAAGGCGGGTTCCGTAGTACAAACTTCATTATCGTGAGTACGAGGTGGGTTCCATGTACACGTCGCATTCTGTACACAAAATCTTGTAGAAAACTTATAAGTTAGCCTGTAAAGTGTAATTTATGCAAATCTATTGTTGACGAGTGCACTTTGGGCACCTGTTAAATATTTTTAATGGAGAGATATTCGATTTTTAAAGTATTGTCTATGCATATCTTGAGGATAGCTACGTGCATTGGAAATCGCAATGCTACCTCATTGGAAATCGCAATGCTACCTCTATTGTTGACGAGTGCACTTTGGGCACCTGTTAAATATTTTTAATGGAGAGATATTCGATTTTTAAACAATTGGTTTTGGAGCACCTTTTTTTGTTAGCAAAATCCTTTACATAATTTATTTTATTTATTATTGTTGATCTTTCTATCTTATGCTCGAATTTCCAAGTTTGAATTCATGAAAATTCCGGCTAACCGTGGGGGACCAAGATTTTGGAATTGGGACCAAATATCCGGCTAACAATGGGGGACCAAGATTTTGGAAAACATAATTTTTTCATTATAATAGCATATATAAACTTTTTTTTTTCTGAAAAGTTTTCCTCTTAAATTATAGGAAATTTTTTAAACTAGGAGGGGCGGGGGCCACCGGCACTCCCCCTTAAGTTTGTCGGTCCCCTTGGCCTCTCTCTATCTCACTCTTTTTGCTCGGGTGTATCTCTGCCGCTCTCGTATTCAAAAAAATGCAATTTACCATAGCTTTTTATGATTACATTTTGCAGTGCTTTATGTTTTAGGACTATGCAATTATAGACATGAAACACGTATTTTTCTGTATAATGCACTTGATTTGATATCGAACCGGGTTAGCAGTCAACAAATTTAGAGCAATGTTGTACTCGATAAAAAGATCATTATTAAAGCATAGGGCAGTGTAAATTGTAGGGTACATGGAAACTCGTGGATCCGACGGTTCCCGAACTTTAGGGCGGTTCAAAAGCTCATAGGGTAGGTTTCAAATTTCAGATTCTTGGAACCAGTATTTACAGGCTAGGTAAGTTCTTGGAAGTCATTGGGATTTCTACTTCAATGTACAAAGAGAAATGAGCCAAATCCTTGGGAGCTCAATCTACAAAATACAAACTTCTTGGGCCGAAATGCAGAGTCCAAAGGATTACCCACGGCCCGGCCCATGTTGGCCGGTTTGACTATCGAAATGCAGGGACCAAAGGATCACCCACGGCCCGTTTTACAGGCCACGATATCACCAAACGACCACGTAGGCTCGACCGCCACGTGTCGAACCTCGGTTGGGCCCTTCGGGTTCCTAGGGTTTAAGCCGAGTTTGAAGTGAAAGGACGGTTCTAGTTCTTTCAAAACCATCTCTAAAACCCTCCGTGTGTGGATCGAGCTCCTCTTCTTGCTAGTGTTCGACAATGGAAATGCAGCCGGTTTGCCTGGGGATCTCTGCCCCGAAGCCCAAGCTGTTCGATCACCGTATCCTACGTCGCCATTCTGTGAGTATATATATACGTGCAAGTCAGTCATCTCTGTTTGTAGTTGTTTGAACTGCTTCTTGACGTCGTTCTCTGGAATGTGTTTCGCAAGATTTATGGGGGCAACATGGGGTCGAAGGACCGGAGAGCTTGTGTTGAGAAGACACCGACCTGTATGTTCACGTTTTTGTGGCACCCTTTTTGTTCTTTTCCTTTCGTGTGGTGGTTTTGTCGAGTTTGGTTGAGCTAAGGTCACCCGCTGGCATTGCGAGTTCACAGAACTAAGTTTCTCTCGAGTTTGATATTTAATCTTTAATTTCAAATGGTGGGTCGGTGGTTATTCGAAGCTCTGATTTGAGTTATATGTGATCAGCCTTGATGCCGCGATTGAAGGCGGTATTTAAGGATGGCCTGAGCAGGGGAACTGCCGTGTGCGCGAGTAGAGGGCGTGGTGGTGCGGATGTGCTGGTTTGTCGTGCCGGCGGGGTGGAACCTTTCAGAGGAAAGGCGGGTTCTGTGTCATTCTATGGGTTGACTCATCATCTAGTCGAAGAGGCGAAATTGGAAACCGCCCCTTTTGAGAAGGACAAGGGGTCGTATCTATGGTTGTTGGCTCCTGCTGCTTTGATTTCGTCGTTGATTCTTCCGCAGTTCTTTCTTGGAAATGCAGTCGAGGCGTCCTTGAAGAATGAGACTCTCGTAGGTATCGTTTAATCTGAATTCACCCTTGATTATGCCTGCTTGGCTTGTAATTGAAATCTGTTGAAAGAAAGAAGAAAGTTGCTAGTTCGAGTCTGAGGTGAAAATCAAGTGGATTTACAGTCACGCAGAAAAGAAATCCTAGAAAGAAGCTGGCCTTGATCTACCTATTCATTTCCAATATTTTTCATTACCCTTTGGTTATTGTTTGACTGGCTATTAATGCTAGTTGCTGTTCAAATTTCAACGTACAATGATTACAAGAGTGAATAATATGCTTCGACAAGGCTCATTTGATGCCTGGATAATTTGAAAAATAGTCTCGTGAATAATGTAGTTTCTCAAATTGGAAACTGCGGAATGTGGAAGAGAATAAATACACAGGAATTGTCTTCATCACCAAATAGGAATTTTTTGGTGAACCACATATGAACCGTCTGAATATTGCTTTGCTTTTGCAGAAATCGTGACTTCTTTGTCCTTTGATGCTATGTTTTACGTTGGTCTTGTGACCTTCTTGCTCGTAACCGATCGCGTTCAAAGACCGTATCTCCAATTTAGTCCAAAGAGATGGAGTCTCATTACAGGACTCAGAGGGTACTTAAGTTCTGCTTTCTTCACAATGGGTTTCAAGGTGGTAATCCCGCTATTCACTGTGTACATAACTTGGCCGGTAGTTGGTCTGCCATCCGTTATTGCAGTAGCTCCTTTTCTCATTGGATGCCTTGCTCAACTTGTTTTTGAGAAGAGTCTTGACAAGAGTGGGTCATCGTGTTGGCCCCTGGTCCCTATACTTTTTGAGGTATTTAGAGTTCTCCCTCCCTCTCTCTCCCCCTCCCCCTCCCTCTCTCTCATGCAAGTACGTGTACATGTGCACAGATGAATACCCAACACATGTAGCACCCAGAAAGACAGAGGTTGTATGCATTCTGATTTTGTGTTAATTTGGTAGGTGTATAGACTTTATCAGCTGACAAAAGCTGCTCATTACATTGAGCGGCTAATGTTCACAATGAAAGATCTTCCTGCATCTCCAGAAGTACTTGACAGAAGTGGTGCCCTGGTTGCCACAATTGTGAGTTTCCAAATCCTTGGATTGCTGTGCCTTTGGTCCCTGATTACATTTCTTCTGAGGCTCTTTCCTTCTAGACCTGTATCAGAGAATTACTAGTGTTTCCAGAGATGCCGTATATATTTCATCTTGTTCTTGAACCATTGGCGACAGACATAACTTTTGATTTTGCATGTTTTGATACCCTTATGGACATGATGAAATGCATAAGTAGGGATAGTGCAGGTCTCACAGGTCACGCAATCTTTTCTTTTTCTTGTCACTTCTTGTCAACCTTTGTTATGAAGTTAGCTGTTGATCCTGTGTTGATCCAGTGATAAAGAGATTATCCATTCTAGAAGGACAAAAGCTGTAGTCATTGGACACATGCATCGAAGTTAGCTGTTTGTGTGTACAAAAATCTGCGTTATAACAAGATCACAATTTTATGTTTCTTGACTTAATTTTACTGAATATGGTACTTGAATCTTAAAACCCATCCAACTCCAAGTAGTGCTCCATTTTCATGTTGCCTTCAGTTCTTTGCTCTCCTTAGCTACCCTGTTTATAGACCATTCACCAGTTAATCTAACGTGACCATATTCTGACTCCGTGTGCCTAATTTTTCACTGAATTACACGAATTTTGAGGCTAGCATCGCTCAATTCGACAATGATATCTGAGTTGTTCCATCTTGCTTTCTTCCTTTTACCATTATTTTGATAACCAGACCAGAGGTCCATTGAACTGAGTACCGGACCAAACGCTAGTCTGGTTCTGAATACTTTCTGCCTCATCCACTGATCAGAAACTGGTGCTAACCCAGTTCAATGTGTCAAACAGCTGAACCGGAACCTGTTTATACCGGATCTTGGACCTTTGTGAAAAAATTTAATTGCAGGGAGGGAATTGAACCCCTGCCCTCTTTTCTGCTCACATGCTCAAACCACTTGAGCTGAAGCTCCATCAAATAGTTTAAAGTTTCTTTATCCATTTTGAAGAAAAAAGCATACACACTAACTGTTGAATGAAATATGCATCTCTCCCAATCATTTTGTATGTGCATCACCCCTGCTGTATCAGCTGGGTGGTGCTTTTCTTATGCTAGTGCGACTTTTCTTATTTATATTGTCTATTTTATAGCAACGCAGTCCATAAGTCAGACCTGCTGGTCTAACCAATTGAGTCATGTAACATCGAACCATCTGGTCTTCCTGGTACAGTTTTAAAGCAGTGGCTTTACTCTTGGTTCCGGTGCCATCTTCATTAACTCTCCCACTCAAAACCTTTCCCCTATTCATACGTGAAGTGATTTTGTGGGTGCTGCTGATACTGGATTTGACATTCTCTTCCAATTTTTGTGAGATCTCTATCAGCCCGAGATTGCCTTGATGTGTCCTGCCCCTATCACAGTGACACAAAAGTTCTCAGTGATGATCTGTGAGACATTGTTTGATGTTGCATGGATGTGTGCTGGCTCCTGGATTAATTTCTGTTCACGATGCTTTCGAGTTCAACACATTAATTGATTTAGTTTCTCGCTTCCGAAAGTTGTCGGAGTTGTGATATCTTTGTTCCTTCACCCGTGTTACCTGTCGATTGTGATGTTAAAGGTTTATATGCTTCTTAACTTTGACGTTGTTGGCCGACTTTAACAGAGTCAGATAGGTCATACATTTTGGTGGCATAGAATCTCCCAAATAATCTCATTATTCTTGATGTTAGATGGAGAAAATAACTTTCATACTGTTGGTTTATTTGGTTCATTAGATTGCCTCAGGTTTTGAGTTAACCTAGGTGTTAGACATATAACCTTTTGTTAATACCTATTGGAAAATCTATTGGATGCTTACGATTGTCATGAAGTTAAACTGGGGTGACCATAATCTTTCTGTTTGATTTCCTGGCAATGATTTTAATTGCTTTCTTCCGTAAAATATTGTTGTTTTGTGATTCGACGTCAAGAACTTTGCAAATCTCACTGAACCAAAATGATAGCACGAATTTTTTGCCGACTAGCCAAAGACAAAGGGCCGTTTGGTTCGGATTTTCAAATGCTACTTGGGGGAATGCAAATACCTTTAGGTGAAAGTCGCTTGGGGAAATGCAAATGGTGTTTGGTAAAACATTATTTGAAAGCCAATTAGGGAAATGCAATTGTGTTTGGTAAATTCCTTTTTACAAATGGGCTTTGGGAGGTTTTTTTTTTTTTTTGTTTTAAAGTACCCTTCGTCGGCTCTGGCGAAGGGCTACGGCCGCCGGCGAGCCAGATCTGGCGTTGGCGGCCGTCGCCCGAGGAGGCTTGAGGTCGCATGACCTCAGGCCGTCGTCGCCCGGGTTGCGCGACCTCAGGCGATGGCCGCCTAGGGTCGCGCGACCACCCAGGCACCGTCGCCTGGGTCGTTCGACCTAGGCGGCGACGGCTTGGGTCGAGTGACCCAGGCGCCAGGCCGTCGCCACCGGGGTTGCGCGACCCAGGCGACGGCGCCTGGGCGGTCGCGCGACCCTAGGCGGCCGTCGCTTGAGGTCGCGCGACCCAGGCGGCGACAGCCTAGGTCGAGCGACCCCAGGCGGCCGTCGCCTAGGTCGGGCAACCTTGCCGGCCGCCCTAGTCGGCCACCCTAGCCAGCCACGCTTTGCTAAAGAATTTTTTTTTTTTTTTGGAAACAGTCAGTATTTGTGGAATGCCGAAAGCCCAAAACTGGTCCGAACCAGCTTTGGGCTTTCGGCATTCCAAATGCCAGCTTTCGGCTTTCCGGACTCGGAAAGCTGAACCTAACGGGGCCTTAAGTACTCTATTTTGTGGACCAGCTTTCGGCTTTCGGCATTCCAAATGCCAGCTTTCGGCTTTCCGGACTTGGAAAGCTGAACCAAACGGGGCCTTAAGTACTCTATTGTGTGTCTTTGTTGGCTTCAAGCAATATGATAGGACCAGATTCATTGATGTTAGTGATTATGAGGTGAAGGCATCTTTAGCTACTCATTGAAGATGAAGTGGTCTGATGTTCTTTGGTGTGGTACTATCGATATATTCGACTATTATCTCAAGTAGTCTTACTTTCTATGGACTACTACCTATTCTGAGTTTGTTGCGTTTGCACCCACTGTGTGAGGTGTGTGCTGCATGGAGCCGTCGATGTTGGATTACGGTGTGAGGCTCGATCTACTTCTTGAGAAAATGCGCGTGATTCAGTTATGCACACTTCGTTGTGTATGTGATTGCGTGCTCTAATTATAGACTGGATTGGAGTTCTCTCAGTTGAGAGAGAGCGCGTTGCTCATGAGTGCAAAGATAGTAGCGTACCGTGAAATGTTGGCATTCCGCCCGTTGCCGTTGCTGTCAGTTTCTGCACGACTAGGATGTTCGCGGTGTTAGAAAATCGGAGTTTCACCGTTTGGATTCATCTTGCTGTCCATGTTCATTGCTTTGTTGGCGCTCTGTTCAACCGTCTAGCAACTGTCCTTGATGACAGTGAACCCTTTTTGTAAGGTGGGGCTACTTAATGGCTTATCCCGTGTGCTTGGGGAACGAAATGTTATCTCAACGCAGATCTGTTGAAGGCCCGAAAGTAAATCATACCCTTTGAAGTCTTTCTCAGGGATATCATGATTTGGAAATAATATCTTGAAAATGATCGCTTCTATCGCTCGGAAAAACGTTTTCATTTTCATTGATAATGAAAATATTTTCGTTGATCGAATCTCTTTGAACAAAATTAACAATCATTTTCGAGGACATCTTTTTCAAATTGTTGATTTTTTCGTCAAATAAATGGACCCTTAAAGAGGCAAACACAGGACATAAGTGTCGGTATCGCAAGCTTCGGCTTTCATCTTTAAGATTGCGGGATTAGATATAGATTATCTGGATAATTATGTGCCGATTACTAAATGGATGGGCGATGAGACGTAGTTTTACTTAATAGCTCCTCTCCTGCGTTGGAAGAAGGTAGTGGTTTGGAGGATACACGGTATAATCATCGTGGTCAGAGCTAAACAAAATGGACCACCCATGGTCGCAGATTTCAGGATTTTGTCCCATCGAATAAAGCAAAGGGCTGACCAACGAAGCTGTCATCTCGAGACCTTATCTCAAGGGCTTCACATCCGCCGTAGAATGTTTGATTCGAGTCGTAACTGCTCAATTCATTCATAGGTTCGTGACCTCATCATAGTTAATCTCGTTGATGAGCTGGAAGCCTGAAAGTCTCTCCAGATGAGGTAACAAATGCCCAAAGTACAAATTCAGGTCCAATAGAAGCAAGCCCGCCAGACAGCTAACCCTAACTCCAAAAACCCGTCCCAGTTCGGATCGCAGGATGCAACTCGCCTGCGAAACATGCTTGGAAATTACGACCTCATGGAAGGTAACGGGGACCTCTTTCTAACGGTGGAATTTCACGCTCGGTACTGAGAGATTCTTCTGGTAATGACTAATAAGTGGGCCGTGACTACGTAGTGATTTCAGCCTATACACATCATCGCTCGAGTCGGCAATTTCATGGAAAGATCGCACACGAGGGTTTCACTGAACGGTGGAGGAATCGAGCCATTTCTACGCGCTCGTTCAGGGGCATTTTGGCCGCTTCTTCATGGAAAGATCCCCTTTACGACTTTTGCTTCTAGATTTTTCGTTTAAAAAAAGAAGAAGAAGGAATTGCAAGGGCCCGTTTGTTGCAGTTTCTACTTTGAATAATTTTCAAAAGCGGAAATCCTTTTTCTTTTTTTTTTTGTGGAAATATTCTGAATAAATTATTGGTATGCACACCTTATACGATTCTACGTGGAGGTGGAAACGTGATACTGTGAGGGGTTGAACTGAAAATTTGGTGAAATCTACACGAAAATTTCGTACCTCTGTCGACTCACTTTTTTTGGGTACGGTCTCTGATTTCTTTTATATGTTTTAAAAGATTTCTAATAATTATAGGATTAATACCGTGAAAAATCTAAAATTCGATAAATTTTGATCACTAAAAACCCTAATATGATATATTAGTGACTAATTTACCCTCCGTTAGTTTCCGTTAAATTGGATAAATACCACGAAAAAGCACAAACTAGTTAAACGGAGGGTAAAATCTCTAAACTGGTAAATCCTTCAACTGCCATATTTCATCCAACTCAGTAATTTGATGGTAAAATTTAATGAAAACTAATGGAGAGCATGCATAACAGTTTGAAATTTTTCGTGATATTAACTCTTAAACATATAAATAGCGACAACCGGAAATAGAGGAAATACATTCGACGAAGGCGTGGGGGCATTTTTGCTCGTTCCATCGTTCGTTCTTACGCTCCACGTGCCGGCGTCCGCGATTCCCTCGACGGCAACCAAAACTCAAACTCTCGCGTAAAAGTCCACGAAAGACACCCGCTGCCACGTGTCCGGCCGAGAATGGACGGGGCCCCACGCGCGCTAGTCGAGGAAACAGCAAATGAGCCACGTGCGCGAGTCATGGGCCTCGTGCCTTCCTGCTTCCGTTCGATTTCCGACTGTTCAAACATCAAGACCAACCTCTCCAAGGAAAAAGCAAAAAAGCAACGCAAACGCAAAACGCAAACGTAGTCTTCGGACGATATTCTACTTCTTCTGCCTTCTGCATGTAGCGACAACACTGTACTAATATGCCTCGAATCTTCTCTCCCCCTCTTCCACGGTCCGTGCCTTCCCATGTTTTTCCCGTGACGATAACCGTCGTCGAGCTCTTCTTATTCCGACACCTGTCCTTCCCGAAACGATAACCGTCATCGAGCTCTTCTTATTCTGATGCCTGTCCTTCTCGGGACGATAACCCTGTTCTTCCCGGGAAGATAACAACTATCGAGTTCTTTCTTATATTGGCATCTGTCTTTTTTAAGCAGGAACCGTCGTCGAGCTCTTCCTAGCTTGACACCTGTCCTTTCGAAACATGGACCTTTGTCGAGCTCTTTCCGGCTTGACACCTGTCCTTCTCCTTGTCGATGGCCTCGATGACAATTTCCCTTGATAACTTTAGCGCTCGCTCGCCAATTCTCTCTAATTTTCAAATTTTCCACCGATGTCTGCCAGTGCTTGCCAGCTGTTTTGCTTGCGTGAGCCGTCTCATACGGGCTACGTCATCCTTTGACGTCTATTATTTTATTTACTTCAGTTGTCGACAACCTAACTAATTATAGGTGTCAACTACTTATGGAAAAAATGAGTCGCTAAATTAAGATTAATCCATAAATTAATCACTCTTGAAAAAAAATAATCTCAGTCTGGGCAATGCTGCCTGCTACCTGTGTGCTATTTATGAATGCTTTTATTTTACTTTTTTGTTTCCTCTGAAAAATAAAAAAAAATCCGAGATCAAAATTGGAAATTTTTTTTAGGACATTTTCAAATTGTTATCAAGAGAAGTTTGTGCATATTCAACGTAAACCTTATCAAATCGTGGAGTTCAAACGATTGCACACATCCAAATTGTAGCTAATTGGAAAATAGATCTTTTCAAATCGCCCTTCAAAAAATATTAAAAAGGTAAAATTCGATTCATCGGTTAAAGTCATCATCCACCTAGAATTCGATTAAATAAAAGAATACATCCTTTGGGGAGAACTTTGTTAACAGAAAATATGTATATAAAAGAAAAAAGAAGCCCGTCAATTAATTAAGATGGCTTCAGTGACATAGAAGCGAAATTCAATTTTGCATGATTCTATCAGTGTAAAAGCCTTTTATGATGAACATCCTAAGACGGAGAATTATTGCAAGATGTTGTAGATTCTAGCATGGTGTGAATCTTGATCCTTCATACCTGTATTAGACGCTACTAGGATTTAGTGTAGAAGAAGAGTGAACTTCTCAGAGTTCTATGATGTCTCTGACATACATGTTGATGTTGGCAGATGACCAATGAAGTTGGAAAGGCATTATTCTCTAAAGCAGGAGAGCTTGGGATACCTGTGGGGTTCATGCGCATGAAAGTACGGCATCATCTTTCTCAATTATGCAGACATTTCGTCTGCGATGTGATTCTTGACGATGTCGGTTTTATGGCACGAACCGATGTTTATGTCTTGTTATATGCAAGACCAATATATCTGAAAGACCCTAAATCGCGTCATGATCATTCATTCAAATTCTCGCTCATTATATTGAAATGCCATGAGCTCACATTTCTGTAATTATCCAGGGCCTCAATCTCCATATTCCAGAAATGGAGGAGCTCTGCAAAGAATTTCCTTCGACAGTGGTTTTTGCTTTGATCATTTAGCTTTCTGCAAGCCCCCACTGTGAGTGATTTAATTGTACTGACATCGAAATGCTATTCGATTCCTTAGTTCTTCAGCGAACCTTGAGGCACTTATTTGTCTTGTTCAGAAATGATGAGGACAGTCACACCTTCTCTGAGCTTCTAAGACTATCCAGATACCATCAGGTATCAGAGCCCTAGACAGGAGTTCAGTTTCTTCTCCGTTTCTATGAATACGACTATTTACTTGGCTGCTGCCATATAGTTAATGCTGTTTGAATATTATATTATGGATTACTCATGTGCAACTCTCTGAGCCACGTCTTCTTGTATTTTTCGCTTTGACAGCCGCACCATCTTCACTCCCTCTTTCACAGTGGATTTTCTCTCTCTTTTTAAAGTATCAGCTGGAGGTTCCTGTTGACACGATCTTTTCCTGAAGAGGTGTACGTAAAACTCAGTGCTCTTTTCAGGGTGTCGAGAACGCCATTTCCGTACCTTGATTTTTCTGACCTTCTTGCAAAACTTATTATCCACTTTGGTACAAACGGATGGTAAAATTTCTAAATTAGTAAATCCTTTAACTATTACGTGTCATTTAACTCAGTAATTTGATGGTAAAATTTAATAGAAACTAATAGAGGGTAAATTTATCACGTGCGTACCAGTTTAAAATTTTTTGTGATATTAACCTTAAAAATATAAATAGCGACAACTGGAAATAGAGGAAATACCTTCGACGAAGGCGTGGGGCATTTTTGCTCGTCCAGTCGTTCGTTCTTACGCTCCACGTGCCGGCGTCCGCGATTCCTCGACGGCAACCAAAACTCAAACTCCGTCCGTCCGCTCTCTCTCTCTCTCGCGTAAAAGTCGCCGAAAGACACTCGCTGCCACGTGTCCGGCCGAGAATGGACGGGGCCCCACGCGCGCTAGTCGAGGAAACAGCACACGAGCCACGTGCGCGAGTCATGGGCCTCCTGCCTTCCTCCTTCCGTTCGATTTCCTACTGTTCAAAGGTCAAGACCAACCACTCCAAGGAAAAAGCGAAAAAGCAACGCAAACGCAGTCTTCGGAACGATATTCTTCTTCTTCTGCCTTCTGCATGTAGCGACAACACTGTACTAATATGCCTCGAATCTTCTCTCCCCCTCTTCCACGGTCCATGCCTTCCCATGTGTATATATATATATATACACCTTGCATTGCAATCAACCTTCACCACTCAAAACCTAAGATACAAACAATGGCGACGGCTAGGCTGTTGCAGACGCCGGCCAGGCCTTTCTGTTCTTCCGGGTCGCCGTCTTTCGCCGCGGCGGGGAGGACCGTCGGGTGCCTGAACTTGGTGGCACCGTCCGGTGGAGAGAGGAGCGGTTTCGAGAAACCGAAGATGGTCGTGAAGGCTGCCGCGTCGGCGGTTGCTGCTGAGTCTGCGAGAGTGATCACGGCCGAGCCTTGGATAAATGGTGTGGGCGCGGATTTGGCTTCGTTTGTGGGTATTGCTGTAAGCGCCGCGCTGGTCGTTCTGAGAGCAGCTGTGAAGAGGAGGCCGATGAAGTTAAACGTCCAGTGTCTCGTTGAGAAGGTAATAGACCCCACTTCTCGTTTGAATCCTCTAGTTCGTACAACATAGGAGCTGATGCAGTATCTTGCTATGTACGTTAGAAGTAAACAAATGATGCTGAGATAGATCTGGAATCCTTTCTTGCCCCACTTAATGAATTGGGTATGATTTCTTTTGCAGGCGATAGTTGACTGCCGGTTTTTCACATTATTTGCGGTTGCGGGATCTTTACTGGGCTCGGTGTTGTGCTTCGTGGAGGTAAATAATGCACAGATGCCTCCTAATTCCCATCATGCAAGACTCGACCAATTCCTTTCCACACGCTTCCTTTATCCCGGATCCATCCAAAAATATGACGAGCGGTTCCGATCGCGTTGCAGGGTTGCGTCATTGTGATCGAGTCATACGTGGAGTACTTCCAGTCGATGTCGCGGATGTCCGATCAAGGGCACGTGGTGCTGCTGCTTATCGAAGGCTTAGGTATCTTCTCTTCTATCATTCGATGCTAGTCGAGTCACACACACCGTTGATGGTTGTTGAAATGCATGCAGGCGACGTCTAGCTTAAATATAAGAGAAACATATCTGAGGACTTCAATTCGTAATAGTTGGTCTGAAACTTCACGAAAGTGAAATTTTTTTAGCAAATGGGTTCGCCAGTTGTTACATCTGTCCATGCATATGTTTTATAAACCGGACTTCCTAGCTGGGGATCTGGCATGAAACCACTCAATCGATGTTTGCACTCGTTTCTGCTATGTTCTCGACCTCTGCTTTGTTGATTCTTTCGGGGCTCGATGCAGATATGTTCTTAGTCGGAACGGCAATGCTGATATTTGGGGTTAGTTTGCACGTGATGTTCGTCGGATCGCAGGCCAAAAGAGAGAGAGGGCCGTGGCTATCCGGGTCCAACCTCTTCGGCCTCTACTATCTGACGGTGAGCTTTCCATCTTCTCTGTGTTGCTGCTATTCGCGAGCATATTACAATTAGCTATTACGTATGACGATGATGATGGTATTCGTCGTTGATGACATCACAGAACAACACATGTTGATTTTTTTCTCGATGTTTCTTGATCAGAGGCTTCCAGCGTGGGCGGAGACGCAATCGGTTTCGCAGGCCAAGTCGAGGATCGGGCACGCGATGATGATGATCCTTCAAGTCGGGGTGCTGGAGAAGTTCAAGAGCATCCCCGTCCTGACCTGCTTGGATCTCGCTTGTTTCGCCGGCGCCGTGCTCCTTTCCTCGGCCTGCATATTCCTCCTATCGAGACTTTCTTTGAGCAGTTCTTCCGCGGATGGTGTAACGGAGAAGACTCCACTATAAAGGACTGAGAACAGTATCTTGCTGATTGATGCCAAGACCAAGCCTTTGAGGAAGCATGTGCAAACTCAAACTTCTTTCTTTTTTTATGATGAAATTGTATACATATTCTTTTCTAGTGCTGATTTTGGATCTGATTTGGCTATGGAATATTGATAATCATTGGAAGAAAATTTTGCGATAGATATTGTGAATTGTGTTGACCATATCCTTCTCTTTCTTTTCCATCATTTCCAATCTGATTTGAGCTATTCAAGAAAGTGTAAAAAGTCACCAATCTCTCTCGGACATTTTTCTCATAGAATGGTCGAACTACTTATGGAAAAAACGAGTAGCTAAATTAAGATTAATCCGTAAATTAATCACTCTTGAAAAAAAATAATCTTACTCTAGGCAATGCTGCCTGCTACCTGTGTGCTATTTATGAATGCTTTTATTTTACTTTTCTGTTTCCTCTGAAAAATAAAAAAAAATCCGAGATCAAAATTGGAAAATTTTTTTAGGACATTTTCAAATTGTTATCGAGAGAAGTTTATGCATATTCAACGTAAACCTTATCAAATCGTGGAGTTCAAACGATTGCACACATCCAAATTGTAGCTAATTGGAAAATAGATCTTTTCAAATCGCCCTTCAAAAAATATTAAAAAGGTAAAATTCGATTCATCGGTTAAAGTCATCATCCACCTAGAATTTGATTAAATAAAAGAATAAATCTTTTGGGGAGAACCTTGTTAACAGAAAATATGCATATAAAAGAAAAAAGAAGCCCGTCAATTAAAAACCTTTTAATGAGAAATACATTAATGAATTTCAAGACTTCTTATTCGACCACCAAAAAAATAAACAATAAAAAAATTCAAGACTTCTTACAATTGGTTCCTAGTTGCAACTGTCAACAATCACAGTGTGATATGTTGATATATGTACCATCATCAAATATACGTAGACTTAAGGGAAATGACCTAATTATCTTTATCATCAGTCAATTAAGTTTTAAAAAAAATAAAAAAAAATGACTTGGCTACTGTGCATGCTATGCTCCAAGAGGCTGGCGTGACCATTGGACGAGACAACTAATGATGAATAGTGATGTTGAGAGAATTGAAAAAGAGAATGACTTGTGAGGAATCTTGGCTGTAATGTGCATAGTCTAGTTCTGATATCAAAATGAAAAATATACGGAAGAGGGGTATAAGAAAAACAAATCCAGTATAATCATACAGTTGCCTGAATATTTTTTGTAGGGCATTTCTATAATATGCAGTATGATATGATAACTTATTGTCATAATTAAGAATAAAATACCACGATATGCTCACGACTCGTTGTAATCAATTGAAAAAAAATTGATTTAGAAATTCGCCGATTGAACCTAGAAAATGGGCAAAAAAAAGAGACATAGTCGACATTTTCTAGTCATTGCAATAAGTACGGGTGAGCACTGGGTGAGATTCAATTTGGGAATCGGACCGAACCGGTCTAAACCGATTGGTTCAAGGCCAGTTCTCGATCCGGTTCTGAGAACCAAGGATAGTCTGAAACCGATTCGGTTCTCCGGTTTCGAGCGGGAACCGCCGATTCTACTCGAGAACCGGTTCAACCAATCCGGTTCCCGGTTGAACCGGTTTTTTAACCCAACATATAAGTATTAACACACTCGTGAAGAACGAAGCCGCGAGCGAAAACCTCGTTCGGCCGAGAATCGGAAACGAGGCGAGGGGCTGTTCCAGTCGTTGTCGCTCGCAGCGGAAACGGGAGATTGCCGCCGGTTCCGAGCGACATCGCGAGAGCGGGAGGAGCTGTCGGAGAGCGTTTCGTTCCAGCGAATCCAACCCTTACAGCTCTCGAATCCCTGTCGTCATCGTCCATTTGCGTGCTCAATTTCGCGCGTTTTTCTTGCTTCTTCTTTAGCCTGGTAATGCTTCAATGGAGTTCGCAGACATTCCTTTTTCTTTTAAATGGGTGTTGCAAAAGAACCGAATTTGCAGATAGTAAAGTGACTTGCAGTTGACGCTTCGTACTGGGCTAGCCAGAAGCCGATCGATTCGGTTCCCCGGTTCACAGGATCAATTCCGGTTCTGGGGTTGGGAACCCATCATTCCTACAGCGAGATCCCTTCGCTAGTACCTGTCGCTCTGCCGATTTGAATCCGCTCAACTAATTCGATCGTGTTGGTAACTTCCAGACAGAGGATTGGTGTTCTCTTTTCTGGTCTCGCGTTGTTATGACAGCGGCGTCTGGAGAAGGCTGGCGTTGCTTTAGTTTTGTTTTAAGTTAAACTTGCTCCTTGGGTCTCTCAGAGCTTGGACAACTTGAAATCTGAAATCGGGTGTCTTTCTATGGTTTGGGATAAATGTATCTTTAGTATCCGAACTAGGTGGAATGCTCAAATGGAGAAAAAAGTGATTTTGTTTATCTTTCTGCAAATTTTAGAAGCTGGGTGTTGTTGCTTAATGAGTTTCCCTCCTCTTATGTTGATTTATCTTTTTGAAGTTTCAGTGACTGACGGATAATTAAAGCTTTTTGATGGAGTGTGTGGTCCAAGGAATCATAGAGACTCAGGTAAGTTTCAAAATGGGGCTTTATGCACCTCATTGTAGATATCCTCGTAAAAGTCTTGTACTTTCTTTCAATTCTCTTTAGTTTTTTAAGTTCCTTGTCGCAGCAAATCGATGGAGGTGGAGTTTAATTTTTGCTACCGACTTAGGCTTCTGTTTTTTGAGATGATCTTTGTCTTCAGATTGTGTATGAGTGCTAAGTTTATAGATTCATTCTGCTAGTATATCATCTCTTAACTTTGCTGTTGAATTATTGGAAGCTTGATCGTGTATCTAAGGTAAAATGAAGTTTCATCGTTTTAATCAGAACACCCTGCTATTTTGTTCTGAACTAGTTGGAGGTCATCAATTCGTCATCAAGTTTTCACTCTATATTGTTTTCTTCCATTGCATTAACTGTCACAATGCAGCTTTAAATTGGGAAACAGCTGTCTGTGATTGCGCTAGTCATTCTCTGATCATCTAGTTGATGGCTGTCTTCGCTAACAAAGCAGTAAATGATCTCTTTAGAAATGAATTAAGAAGCAAATTCGAAAGACTTATGACACGTATTTTTGCCTTTATCTTTATCATTTTTCCAATATATGGTTTTTTTACCTTCGAATTCCTAACTTTGCTATCTCCCGCTATAACTTGCGTTTCTTCTCTACACTTTTAACAATTTTTTCTTTCCTCATATCATGAAGCATGTTGAGGCCCTTGAGATTCTTCTGCAAGGTCTTTGTGGTGTTCAAAAAGAACGCTTGAGGATCCATGAGCTTTGCCTGAAAAGTGGTCCAAATCTAGGTGATTTTACACATTTACAACCAAGAGGCTTGGGTATCTGTCAGTCCAACTTAAAATATTGATCTCTACATGCAGGTGCAGTACCCTCAGAACTTCGAATATTGTGTGATCTTGAACAACCAGAACCTAGTTGGTAAAGCGTGATTTTTTCCAAATATTGCTCCTTGTTTGTTTGGTTGGTATAGAGAAGATGTAATCTTACTTACTAGATTATCCTTTAGGACTGTTCGGCATGTTGGGGGCTCAATGAGAGGTGCTGGTGCTGAACAGATATCAGTTCTTGTGAGACCCATGGTAGAAAGCAAAGCGAGCAAGAATGTGCTTCGTTTCTTTTATGCTCTTGGCTACAAATTGGACCACGAGCTGCTGAGAGTGGGATTTGCCTTTCACTTCCAGAGGGGTGTTCAGATTACTGTTACTGTGTCTTCAGTAAATAAGATGTTGAAACTACATGCGACTGATGAGGCTGTGCCGGTGACACCGGGTATGCAGCTGGTTGAAGTAACTGCTCCTGCAACATCAGAGAACTATACTGAAGTAGTTGCAGCTGTGACTTCATTTTGCGAACATCTTGCTCCGTGAGATTCTTAAAAATGTCCCATCCGTTTATTAGCATAATATGTGCCTGTGTAGCCCTCTCTCCTGCTAGCTGTTAGGATTGGGCTCATCTTGTGTTTGATTGCCATATATAATGCATGTTTGAGATTTGTGTGTCAGAAGAAGAGACTGTTTAACAGATTGTGCTTGGAAGCATCAGAATAAATGTTTGGAATACTCATCTTGCTTGTCTAAATATATGATGCTCCTTTTAAATTTTTGACCATATTTGTCATTATTTGTTTTCAGGCTCTTGCATCTGTCAAAGCCGGGCATCTCAACAGGGGTTGTTCCAACAGCAGCTGCTGCTGCTGCATCTCTCATGTCTGATGGTGGTGGTACAACTTTATAACAGGATCATGAAGCTGTAGAAGGTCGTCTTGTACTACATGTTGCACCCATAACTTCTTTGTTGTCGCAATATAGGTCCTTCCCATGGTATATTGGTAGTTCTTCTGTTACTAACTTGTAGTGATGAACCAACCAAGAAGTGAAATGGCACTCTATAGTGAAATGACACTCTATTCTCTTTTCTTGTGGTTCTGATATTATAACCAACATTCTTAGAGTAAGCTTTTCATTAGATTGTTCTAGCTTGGCTTGATTCTCAATGGTTTAAGCTGGCCGTGGCGGTCATCATGCCTCCGTCCTCCTGTAATTTGTTGATTACTAGTTTTCAGTGATTGTTACAGACCCCTCGAGACAATCAATGGTTAACTGTATTTATTGGGGCCTATTGGACATGGATGTTGAATTGGTGGTTCCTAGCTAATCATTAGTTTAGTTTAAGCCGGGGGTATCGGCAAATTAAAACTGCCATACGGAGCGAATAAAACAGTAATAATATGTATAAACTCCAAATCGTTGCTGCTGCTTTCTCATTTTCATCTGTTAGAAATTAATACAGGGTGATTCTCATCCTTATAAGCAAGAGAATTGGAAGAGGTGCCAAAAAATTTACAAAAATATGAGTAGCACAATCTTTAAATTGAACTGTGGATCATCCTGGGATGGTCTGAGACCTGTTAGGGAACTTCAGTTGCAACTTGATGTGGTAAGTAGTTGGATCGACGTCAGATGAATGCTTTTGTGCTTGAGCAAAAACAGCCAGTCCGCGGGCAAAGGCAAAATCGCCTGTTCCACCGATAACAGTAAGCTCTTGTCTGTCCTCATGATCGACGTGCCTTGCCTCTACACTAAGACTACCGGAATATGTTGCCGTGTCGAAAGTCAGATAAATAACATTAAATGCCGAATGGGCAAAGTGTTCGACGGGGATGATGAAGCCTTGAGCTCGGCCGATGACTCTGGAAGTGCTCTCAGGGCCCTCGGTGAGTGTTCGGTGGAATGTGAATGCTCCCCCTACTGATCCCGTCACCTGCTGCTGGTTATTTGAGCTCGGAGTGCTCGGTTGCTGGATGTACAGAGATAGGGCAAGCCACGGCGGCGGCGGCGATTGGTTCTTCGATTGGTGTCGGTGAGCCACCGGCGAGAACAGGGCCAGGAGAATCACCGCGAGTGTGGCTAAAACGACGGAGCCACAGAAGATGATTCGGGGGAGCATGATGCAGGAAAATGGCTCCCTATTGAATGTGATCGTTTTGAGTTTCAGTGGTAATATGGATCAGTTTGTGTGCAGTTTTGTACCTTTCATTTGGAAGGTTGGGTTAACCTGCTCCGCTTCCTTTGATTTGCATCACCTAACCCTCTATAAGAAAATCTGCCTTTCTTTCCAGAAAGGGATTGCGGTGTGCGGCAACAGATTTCAACGACATAGCCCTCGATTTTCGTTATTAAAAACAAGTGGTGAGTTGAACTCTTTTCGAATGGTCAAATGGCAAATACAATTCGTGCTCACCTTTTCTCCTCTTTCAATTTTGTCCCTACCTTTCTAGGTTATCAAAATAAATCCCAACCTTTCAAGATTATATCAAATCTTATCCCAAAACTAGATTCCCTCAATAATTACCTTCGGCCCCTTTTCAGCCTCAAGTATTTATAGCATTGCAATGAAGACCATTTTGTAGAAGACCAAGGTTTTTCAAATTTCTCTTCATACCAGCCTGATAAATATTGTCCTTTCAATTATAGAAATGTCAGATTATTCACCCATAGGTATCCTCCCTCGGACAATAAGATTGGGATTTATGCTGCCACTTAGTTTTCAGTAGGAATAAATTTTTAAGGTTAATTCAATCATGTGAATAAATTGATGGCAAGGAATTAGATGGATACTTTCTACTAGCCCGATTTTGTCCAGGATAAGCAGCAGCTCTCCACCAAAGTATCTCTTTTCTCCCCGATGGGGTCGTCATCCTCAAAATTCAAAATCGATGAAAAGTAGTGCCCGTTTCTCAATCTTTGGATATCATCGCAACATCGGTTTATGCAAAGTCTATCAATCCATGACTACTAAGTTAATGAGTATATAAACAAGTACCGAACCGTGAGCTTATCTATTGAAGATATGCCATGATTTAATAAGTCGAGAGTTTATCATGTTTTTGTCAATCTTATAAGGTAATTTCACTTCTACACATGGTAGTTTCAATTGCAGATGACATAGCACGTGGGAGTTATTATCCTCGATATTATACTAAAAATACTAACTCGAAATAAAGATACCAACCATTTGCAAAACTACTAAGGCAATTTGACTCTCACTTGTACAGCAATTCATTCGTCTCCTTCACCACCAAAGTATTACTTACTAACAAAAGACCATATGAGAGCATTTGGGATTTCACAGTACGGTAATAGTGATTTGTTTATCCGTTAGAAGATTTTCAAGCATTTAACATTGGACAGAGTAAACTATGTTTATTGGCTGCAACTTGTACGAATCTTTAATTTGGGTCCGCAGAGGTCTTTTTTTATTTATTTTCTGTTTTGTCATTTCATCTAAAACCTAAACTGTCGATGTAGATAAAAAATCAATAAATTGCCAAAAGATGCACACGAAAATTTACGTGGTTCGGCCAACTTGGCCTACCTCCACGGATGAAAAAGAGCACATCATCATTGTGAATCGAGAATCACAACATGGCAGCCGTCCAGATTCAATTGCTCGCTTGGCAACACATTCCCTAAAATTTCAAGACATCCATCCCTACTTGAGCAGCACCAAGCGGATCTGGTTCCCCTCTGCTACGGTCACACCACAACAAGGGCATGACAACTCTTTATCTTCCAGATGATTCTGGTGACTTAACTAAGACAAAAGAGAACACAAGCCTTCAGAAGAGCAGAAAATTTACAACTCCAGATGGGATAAGGTATTGTCCTTTACATCAAGAGAAAATTGCAGTCTCTCCAGCCAACCAATCTACCATATCTGCACTTCAGCAAATTCAATGGCCGCCGCATTGCTGAGAATAGCCTTCCTCGCCACAATTTTTCACCAATTCTGAGGTTGGCATGATAATTGCATCATCTGCACTAGTTTCTTGGGCCACAGAAGCTCTTTTCATATATGAATACAATCGTGACGTTTGAAGAATGATCCAAAACAAGTATCTTAGCACATAAGATAGTACAAAGGACGTGTCATTCTAAAACTCACCCCTCTTGTCAACATGGATTTGCAGAAAGTTTGTGGACAGTTCACTATCGTTGGCTTGACAATACCTTCTCACAATTAAGCCTGGCTCTGTCACCATATATATAACGCGAGCAAAATCCCTAGCATTTCATTATCAACAATGCTAAAAAATTGTAAGAGATGATGAAGTAACGAAGGAGCTGAGGAGCACAGATCAATGGATCTGGCTCTAAACAGATTTGAAATCACCACGACAACCTGGAGCTGAGGGACATGCAAATAGAAGATCCCGGCTTCTTCAAATAAACAGATTCAGAATCTGCAAGATAACCCTCTTATCTCACTTGTCATCCAAAGAAAGAGATAACAATCAAGAGAGAGAGTCATAACTACGTTCAAAATTAAAATTAAAGATAGGGATTCTGAAATTAAATACAAACATCAAACTTCTACTGATAGCTCCGTCATCATAATCATGTGCCCCAAAGATGTTTCCAAATCTGAACATTCAAGTAAATCTCAAGACAGTAGAGTAATACCTGTTCACAATCAGTTGAGATTGTATCGGGCTTAACCAATCTGTCAAGAACAACCATAGGCAAACAAAAACCCAACAATGAATTCAGGTCCCTAGGAGGCGAAGGAGATATACCAAGACCTTTTCATCAGTTCGAAGATCTATAGGTGGGACTGGCAATCTCGGTTAGTTCTCAATTTCATGACCTCTCCTGATTGCTGACAGCGGAAACAATAAAGCCTTGCAAGGTAAGCATCAATGAGAAGGAAAACGAGTAATACTAACAAATCCTTAAGAATTGCCTCTTGATCAGAACTAGAGATAGCTTTCATATGGCTACATGATCAAGGTAGTTACCAAACTTAATACAAAATACTCATTATATAACAAGAACCAGGTTACTATAACGAATAAATGGAAGTGCTCAGCAGTAATAGAGGTGGTAATTAGTACCAGAAACTGGACACAAGTAAATACTTCCACATCTAATAGCATTTACAATAACCATGCTAGGTGAGCATTTCCCAGAGAGCCAATAACATAGTGGCCGGCAAGAATCTGTATAACCAAAGAAGAAACGTTTCGTCATTACTCAATATAGCTAGATGAGATATCAACACTCTTGAAGATCACCTTCCTAATATCTGGTGTATGCTATTAAAAGGACCATCCACATCAACGACATCAGAATCTAGGGAGAAATGAGTAAGATAGGTTTTGTGAAACATCTCCATCAGGTGTAAATCTTATATACATCACAAGGGAATCAAGGCGAGAACAACTAAATAACAAAGAAAAGAGAATAGACCAATCTCATATACGGCTGAAGCAATTTCCCAAGAAGGTAAGAACCTCATCCATTTGCAACCTACCAGTCATTTCAAGTGAAATTACCATTAAGGGAGTGCAGATGCTAACTATCCAGCCAAACTAAGATGGTATCATCCTTACAGTGACTGAAATGATTGAAAGACTCCTGCAATTAGTAAATCTTCCCTGCCTTAATTAAATTCCATAGCTATTAAAGACCAGAAAGAAACCATATCCATATAAAACACAATTTGTTTCCACATTGTCCGACTTATCGACAGTGTGTCGTGATCAAAACCAAAAAACCTCAGTCTCAACAACCATCTTGACCAAATTGAAATCACCATTATCTTAGAAACCGGTGAAAGGTTGTAGAGATGTGTTCATCAATCTCATTCAAAGACTTCTAGATCATCAGCTCAACCAAAGAGTGCAAGATAGATCAATAGACCTCCAAAAAGCCCAAATGTCTTATTCTATGTAACCAACAGACCAGTTGTGTTGTATTCATTGTCCTCAGACAACAGTCTCAAACAAAATGATCACTCCAAGAGGAAAGAAGCCACTTCCAATTCACAGAATAGTGAATACCAGAATTAGTTAATAATACAATTAAACTTGGAAAGATCAATCAATGATGAATCAATCAATGATCAGATGAGCGCAAACCCTAACGATTCCCACAACATGCCAGAGTCCTGGTGAGCTGGAGGCGTAACCTTTGGATAATAACATCAGAATCAGACCGATTGAATAATCAATCAACAAACAAAAAGAAAAGGCAAAGGATCAAGAGCGCATTTCGGGAACGATGTCTCCTCTGAAGAGTACTTCGCAGAGGCTGTCAACTGAGAGGAGCATGCAAAATCATAGACACATGACGAGAAGGATGAAGACACGAGGGAGGGGGCTATTTCTAGGAAGGAGTCGCCAGCTTTCGAACTTCAATAAAAATAAGACGAAGCGAATCTGGATTGGGTAATGATCTGTTAAGGAAAACAAAATCTGGATTGGGAATAGATGTTTATCGCATCTCCTCTAATCCTTGAAAATGAGAACATCATAAACCAGATATTTGCAGAGTTCATGCAGCTACAGACAACCCCTACAGAAAGATCAAGTCATCGTTTATCACCCCGATCCACAAAGAAAAACAACAATTCAGTAGCTCAACTACACATAATACCGTTAGATAATAACCTCCTGTCTTCCCCAAACTCAAGAACTTGGATTCTCCAACAACTTTGATCAATTAGCATCCTCACACGGTCCTTGGTAAGATCGCTCTAAACTGGAACAAGCACCGAATGACTGAATAAATCCGTATAGCATGGAAGCCACTAGTTAATATGATCAGTGGGAGACTTGAACCTCAATAACGTCGATAATTTCTGTATAAAATCAGAGCCTTCACCAACATTGTTCTGAAAATAGACCCAGCCAGATTCTTCAAAATTAATTCCTTCAAAGTAAATACCAAAGTAAATGAAACCGATCATAAGGCAACCATTTAATATCTTCAATTAGAAGCAAGATGACTCTGAGCAACCCTTGTGGAGCCGATGAGAAAGAGACCCTAGAACCATGAATTAGAGTATCTGGACTACAAAATCATCATTGGCAAAAAATCACACCGCAATTGGAGATTTATAATTCATAGCCCTAAAGAGCTTCAACAGCTATGCTTTATTACATTAGATTATACATGCGAAGTAGAAGGGGAAGTAGACTGAATCCATGCTCACCAGATACGTTAAAACCTCAAACCAAAGCTTATTCACTGTAGGATTGTTGTCTGCCCCTTCAGTTTCACCCATAAAAAAAACTACAAAATTTGACAAAAGCGCCAACCCAGCACCTAGTGTCTGATCCTCCCAGCCTGACCAGCCACGTCTGCTGACAGCATACACGCAACAACACAGCTTTGTGATGGATAATAAACAGCAGAATCAGCAGAAAGGAGAGAACCGGTCAGAGCGCAAGCAATGCCAAGTGAAGTTATGTCTAGATGGCTGTCCTGTCAACATCCCCATGAGAGGCCTCATCACATATGCCTATCATGAAACATGAGAAGAAGGAGACCTTCTAGTTATGAAAGGAACCTTCGTGGTGTCTGTTATTAGGAAGCTAAAAGGCAAAAGCACAGTACCAGTTCATCTTTTCAGACTGAGATGCTAACAGTTTAAATGAAGTATATCTTAGGTCCTGGCAGGAAAGTCTTCACATCCCACGGATCAATGAGAACCTAAAATATAATTAGACCCTCGAGGTGGCAGCATTACAAACTAGAAACAACCCATCTCACCTACAAAACCTGATTTGTAAAATGTCCCCAACAATGTTACTGTACCAGAAGAAAGTATTATAGCAGTGGAAAATATAGGCTAAGCAAACCCATACTGATATCTTATTGCAACTCAGGAGACTTAGTACTCTCTTTTTGCAAATGTGTCCAACAGAGAGGCCAACCGATGACAACCAGAGATCTTACGTCAAACTTCAAACCCTCAAAGAATAGTCAAGCTAGTTCTTGCACACCCTATCATAAAAGCACGTCCAAAATATCAATTGATTAGGAATTTGATCCATATACACATGGAGATTGAGGACATCAAATGAACCAAAATCCAAGAAGTGGGAACTTATCCAATTTCAAACAAAGCCCGGACTCTGCAATTCATCAACTCAGCCACACAGAAAAGGCGATAGATCATCACTTCTAAAATGTGGCAAAACTCCAACCTATAAACGAATTAGAACAAAGACAATTGTCATCTTTCCACTCCAAGGGAATCATCTGAGGAATGAGATTCAACAAAAACCCAAGCGCCTACGCAGCAGGAGTTAATCGAAATTTCAGTTCTTCACCCGGTCCTGAAGATGATCACGGACTCTGCCCATCCACCAACCCAACCAAAGATTGATGTGAATAGATCGTTGAACTCGAGTAAAGCTCAGTTATTCCAAGTAATAATTGAACAACCTCATCATATGTACCATTCTTTAGACAACATCCTCAATCAAAGAGATCGCTCCGTGAGAAAAGAAGCTAATACCAATCCACTGGATTATAATGCCAGAAACAGCTCCAAAACAACAGAAGGATGGATCAATGAGTGTAAAAACTAACAATGTCCATGACCACTCCTCAACAACCACCTAAAGCATAGAAATCAGCTGATAAACGGAAAAGTTCCACCAAAGGTTCTGTACCAAAAGAAAACACATCAATCGTATAGAATGAAAGCCTAAGCCAAACTAGGTATTGTGTGAAGCTAGTTTTCCGAAAAATAAAAAAAGTAAGACGAATAAATCGTACATGCAATATCTGCATGATTTACCAGCAATTAAAATAGTGATTGCAGCATGCATTACAAGAATGAAGAGTGTAATGAGCCAGAACTTAGTGGACCTTAAGCTTTCCAGACTCCTAAACAATCCCTTCAATGGATGATAGTCAATGATTATTCACCTTATAAATACAACAAAAGCCAATAGAAGCACGAAGAAAGAAGAGATTGTTAAATGAAATCTAGAAAGAACCATCGCAGATTGACGACATTCCACATTGAACCAGAAGAGGTTTGCATCGAAGGAAAGAGAACTACGCCCTAATCATCACACCAAAACTGGAAAAAAGATCTACAAAGCGGCTGCTTGTCCAATTTCAAACAATCATCAACTCAGCCCCACATAAGACCACAATAGATTGCCACTTCTCAAACCCGGCAAAACTTCAACCTGTAGAGGAATTAGAACTCGACAATAATTATCTCACCGCTCCCCAAAGATAATCAACCGAAGACAAACTTAAATCAAAACTACAAAATGCCTCGAAATCTTCAAAATTTCAGTCCGTTGCACGTCCTGATGATGTGATCAAAGACTACTTCAGAACTCAAGCAAACAAAGACGGCATAATAGATCACCATTCCTCCAAGAAGCCCAAGCACCTTATTCTATGTTAACTGGCCAGCTCCCATGTATTTAACATCCCTAGACGACATGCTCGGTTGAAGAGATTGCTCCAAGAGGAATGATAAAGGAAATAAAATCGAAAGTCATAAGTGCCAGCCAAAGTTAGATTTGCCAAGAGTCTGCTATAAGAGCACCATGACGAATACATCCTGCATGAACTATTTGCCTGATTTCCAAAAACGATTCGATTAGTGATTGCAGTTCAAATATAATATAGGAATGATGAGAAGCAAGCCAAAACTAATGTGGACCTCAAGCTTTCTAGACTTGTAAACAACTCCTACACAACAGAAGAAAGTCGACAATTATTAACCTTCCAAAAACAACTTAATACTCAGATAAAAGTGCCAAAGTATTCAGGATCTACGTAGCACCGACACCGACATGCCACATGCGACACGACACGACACGACACGCAATATGTCATTTATCAAAAAATAGAGAATTCCGACACATTGTATATTAAATATATAGTTTTATACATACATGATAAATTATTATTTTTAAATTCGATTTAAGTCCACAAATAAATAAATAATAATAAAAAGTCTAGAATTTACTTCATGTCATGGAAAAATAAATAATAAAAAAATAATGGCGTGTGCCGGGAGGGAGAGGAGGACGAGCCATCTGCTAGAAAGGTTCTTGGTCCATGAAACGGAGAAGGGTGGTGGTGTGTTCAGGGTGGGGATTCGGGGGTTGGAGCTTGGAGGATGCGAAGGAAGAAGATGAGAAATGGTGAGGAAATAGATGCAATCGGTGTTCCTCTTCAAGGCCTCCTCGGCGGACGTCATTGGTTCAAGCGAAGAAGAGAAATCGCGAAGCGAGAGGGGGAGGGAGTATAGAGCGCGAGTGAAGGCACTCTAAAGATGAGAACAAAAGATTAGGATTTTCTTTCACCCTTTTCTTTCTTTTATTTTTTTATTTTTTTATACATTTACATTCTGACCCCTAATTTTTTGAAAATTTATAAAATTGACCCCGTGCATGTTGGAATTGAGTGTCGGGATTCCGGACTCACATGTCGGCAGCGTGTCCAGCTCGTTGACAGCATGGCAGATTTCCCACACCTGTTGACCACGTGTTGGACACCGACACGTCGGCCTCCCGAACGTGTCCATGTTACATAGTTAAGGATCTTGTCCAATCAAACCATTCCTCTAATATCCAACTATGAAGAACCATCATAGATTAAAGAAAGCTCCTTATTGAAGTAAGAGGTAAAGTTAACTGATTTCTGACCTACAAAAGAAAGAGAACTGAACGGTGATCCTCTTGCTTTAATAAAAACATAAAGAAACTAGAGTCAGCAAACATTATCAAGAATCCAATAAATGAGAGCTTATCCAATTTCAAACAAAACCTGGTCACCACAATTCATCCACTCAGCCTTGCAAAAAAGGCGATGGATCAGCACTTCTCAAATTCAGCAAACCTTCAACCTAAAGCAATTAGAAGTTGACGATTATCATCTCAATTCTTCCCACTACCCCCAAAGATAATTAATGAAAGAATTATTTTTGAAAAAGAAACATAAGTGTCCAGGAAATTATTAAAAGTTTCAGTTCATCACCCAGTACTCCTAGTCCATCAACCCAACATTATACTGCAAAGGAATAGTCAGTTGCAAAAAAGCTCGAATGCTTTATTCTACAAAAACAATTGACCAAATTCATCATATTTCCTGTTCTTTACATGATATCCTCGGAAGTAGAAATCGGTCCATCAGAGAAGAAGTTACTTCAAATCCACGAGAAAACAGATCCAGAATCTGCTTGTAAAACAACTAAATAGAACGACCAACCAATCAATTAATAAATGGTCAAAGCAGGAGAGTAAACCCTAATGATGTCCATGATCATGGCAAAGTCCCAAAGAGGCAACAGGAAACAGATGAAAATAAGCTTCTGCAACAAGCCAGATCCTTATTAATTGATTCTTATGCAGCAAGAAAGAACATCACTGATCCCAGACGCTCCATATGAAACTTGGCCAGGTAAAGTATTGCCCCATTCAAACTTTGATCTGCGAAGGGAAGAGAACTAGATCTGATATTTCGGATTAACTAGAAAATAACAGAACTAAACGACAAGTTTCATCCAAACCAATAACTGCCTAAGTTCCCACAAGCAGGATCTCATCCAATCTCAAACAATTATAAACTCAACCCCACAGAAAACGCAACAGATCACCAGCTGTCAAATCCAAAAAGACTTCCAACCTGTAAAAGAAGCCTAGAAGGTTGTCAAAATTTCAGTCCATTGCTTGTTCTGAAGACAAAGACTTCTAGATCATCAGCTCAACCAAAGAGTGCAAGATAGATCATTACTCCTCCAAAAAGCCAAATGTCCTATTTTATGTAACCAATTGACCAGTTACATTGTATTCATTGTCCTCAAACAACATCCTCAGACAAATGATCACTCCAAGGAGAAAGAAGCCACTAATGAATACCAGAAATACAATTAAACAGAAAGATCAATCAATGATGAATCAATCAACAATCAGAGGAGCGCAAACCCTAATGATGCCCACAACATGGTAGAGTCCCAGAAAGGTGAGGCGTAACCTTTGGAAAATAACATAGCATAAACAGAATCAGACCGATTAAATAATCAATCAAGAAACAAAAAGAAAAGAAGAGAACCAAGAGCGCGTTTCAGGAACGATGTCTCCTCTGAAGAGTACTTCGCAGAGGCTGTCAACTGAGAGGAGGAATGCGTGCACAATCACAAACTCAACGATGAGACTGAAGGATGAGGACACGAGGGAAGGACTATTTCTAGGAAGGAGACCCCGGCTAAGATGAAGCAGATATGGATTGGATAGTGAGCTGTTGGGGCGTTCACCTTGCAAAGAAGGAACCATCACAGATCATACGTCGACCAAACACTGACCTCCAAAGGAATGAGAATCAGTTTTCGCATTAATTGGAAAATTATGAGATTGTTGAATAAATTTCATTCGAACCGATAACTGCCTCAAGAAACGATAGCTTCTCCAATTTCAGACAATCATCAGCTCACGGCAGATCACCACTTGTCAAGTTTGGCAAGAGTCCAACCTGTGAGAGGATTAGGACTAGACAATAATCAACTCCCAAAGATAAAAGACTGGAACAAATTTAAATCAAAACCAGTAAATTTCAGTCTATCACCTGGTCTAAGATGTGATCAAAGACTACTCGTTTATCATCTCAACTCAAGAAAAATACAACAGACCCATCAGTCCTCCAAAAAGCCTAAACTGACCGGCGTCATCGTACTCATTTTGTCCTTGACATCCTCAGACAAAAAGTTCGCTCCAAGGGGAAAGAAGCCACTGCGAACTCACCAAATAACAAAATCCAGAAGCAGCTCGTAAAACAAGTAAACAGAAATATCGATTGGTCGATAAATCAATAAAGGATCAGAAGAAGAGCTAAACCAAGCACTTCCCATAACGACATCCTCAGACGAAAGAGACATGATCCAAGAGGAAAGAAGCCACTACCAATTCACAGAATAACAAAAATCCAGAATAAGCTGGGAAAACAATAATGCAAAGACTGATCAGTCAATGAATCACTTAGCGTAAACAAGATAATTCGGATAACCATGGGTATTGTCCCAAGAAACCAAGCCAAACCCTCAAGAATCTCCACAACAGGGGTTCTGCAACCAGATGCTTCAAAAATCAGACAGAGAAAGGAATGGGCCGATCCACAATCAATCAGGAAAACAGAAACAAAAGAAGAAGGGTCGATGAAGAACAGTAAATCGTGATTGGTACATATGCAGCAAGAAAGAACCATCACCAATCACAGAATCAAAATTGAATCGGTAAAGTATTGCCTCGACCAAATTCTGACCTGCGAAGGAAAGAGAACATCTGATCGTTCAACCTTAACTAGAAGATAACAAAAGTGGAAGACAATTTAGGAATTGATGCATATGCAGCAAGAACATCACTGATCGCAGACGTTCGATATCGAACTTGGCCCAGTAAAGTATTGCCTCGACCAAACTCTGATCTGTGAAGGGAAGAGAACTAGATCTGATCTTTCGGATTGATAGAAAATAACAGAAGTGAAGGACAAGTTTTGTTCAAACCAACGATAACCAGGGATTCAAAAAATTATCAACTCAGCCCCACTGAAAACGCAACAGATCACCCAACTGTCAAAATTTCAGCCCATCGCTTGTCCTGATGACAAAGACTTCTAGATCATCAGCTCAACCAAAGAGTGCAAGATAGATCATTAGTCCTCCAAAAAGCCCAAATGTCTTATTCTATGTAACCAACTGACCTATTGCGTTGTATTTATTGTCCTCAGCCAACATCCTCAAACAAAATGATCGCTCCAAGAAGAAAGAAGCCACTGCCAATTCACGGAATAGTGAATACCAGAATCAGCTCCTAATACAATTAAACTTGGAAAGATCAATCAATGATCAGATGAGCGCAATCCCTAACGATGCCCACAGCATGGCAGAGTCATGGAGAGGCGGAGGCGTAACCTTTGAAAAATAACATCAGAATCAAACCGATTTAATAATCAATCACGAAACAAAAAGAAAAGGAGAAGGATCAAGAGCGCGTTTCAGGAACGATGTCTCCTCTGAAGAGTACTTCGCAGAGGCTGTCAACTGAGAGGAGCGTGCACAATCATAGATGCACGATGAGAAGGATGAAGACACGAGGGAGAGGGCTACTTCTAGGAAGGAGATACCGACTTTCGAACTTCAATAAAAATAAGACGAAGTGAATCTGGATTGGATAGTGATTTGTTGGGGCCCGAACACCTTGCAAAAAAAGAACCATTGCAGATCATACATCAACCAAACACCGACCTTTGAAGGAATGAGAATCGGTTTTCGCATTAATCAGAAAATTATGGGACTGGAGAACAAATTTCATTCAAACCCGATAAAGCTTAACCAATTTCAGACAATCATCGGCTCGTAGCAGATCACCGGTTGTCAAGTCTGGCAAGACTCCAACCTGTGAGAGGAATAGGACTAGACGATAATCAACTCCCAAAGGAAAAAAGACTGAAGAACAAATTCCAATCAAAACCAGTAAATTTCAGTCTGTCGCCTGGTCTACGACGTGATCAAAGACTACAAATTCGTCATCTCAACCCAAAAATAGACGGCAAAACGGATCATCAGTCCTCCAAAAAGTCCAAACATCTTAGTTTTATTAAACAAACTGACCAGTCTCATCGTATTCATTGTCCTTGACATCCTCAGACAAAAAGTTCCGCTCCAAGGGGAAAGAAGCCACTGCGAGTTCACCAAATAACAAATTCCATAAGCAGCTCGTAAAACAAGTAAAGGATCGGTCGATGGATCAATAAAGGATCAGAGGAGGAGGTAAGCCAAGCACTTCCCATAATGACACCCTTAGACGTCAAGAGATACGACCCAAGAGGAAAGAAGCCACTGCCCATTACACAGAATAACAAGAATCCAGGATAAGCTGCCAAAACACAATGACGCAAAATTCGATCGATGGGTCGATTAATCACTAAGCGATCAAAGGACGAGGCGTAAACCAGATAATTCCGATAACCATAGACATTGTCATCCCAAAGAGGCCAAGCGAAACCCTCAAGAATCTCCACAGCAGGGGTGGGGTTTCTGCAACCAGATAGCTTCAAAAATCAAGACCGAGAACACAATCGAGAGCCATCAATGATCAATCAAGAAACGGAAACAAAAGGAAGAACAATGGGTCAGTGAAGAATGCTTAATCTCTGGACAACATTGGATATGTGAACAAGCAAGTCATCTTGTGTTCCATGTGTCCCATTGGCTATAAAAGCCTCCACATTGGACTTGAAAATCATCTCCAAAAAAGTTAAATTCTTAGGCACATCACAGAATCTTCCAAATAGGCACTCTAGAAAACCAAATACGGAAATAAATAAGACCAACATGATAATCAACCCCAAACCAGAAGCCAGAACGGGACAAATAAGGACTTCCTGATGTCTCTTCTCAAGTTCATCAGACTTGAAGTCATCCTGCAAACAGCACCCAAACTAGGAAACTGACAATAGATGATTACACATGCCATGCGCGCATCTCATGTAAAGTCTTAGTTCCTCAAAGACCCAAGAGACAGAGCAAAGAAAGGAGCCACCACAGAATTCCCTTTTAAATGATATTCGAACTTCATCCAACTAATTCTGCAAAGCTTTTTTTCACTTCCATAACTCAACAGACATCTCTTCAATGTTGCTTCCAATGGATCAATAATTCACAATATGGGGTCAATTATCCATCTGGTTAGATGTTGGAGAAGTGAAGAAATAGACACGGTGTTCAATTCGTGCAAGCATAAAACAAGTGCAGCCACACCATTTCAGTGGCTGCAAACTGTAATCAACTTGAGAGTGTTAATCAAAGATCATCAACGAGACAAAGAGCCGCCAAATATCTAACAACCCAATCAAACAAGTCTCGACCTCTAATCCATTAAAGCAAAATGTCAGAGGATAATACTACCGGTCCATCCAATATAAACAGGATCCCACCACTTGATGCCAAAGTAGGTCTACCCCTGAAAATTTTTTGTATAAGTCAATCCGATTTTCGAAGTCTAAACCGAAAAAAGCACACTAAAACAAAAACGAAAAAGAAAAAAATGAAGCAGAGAAGGGCAGGCAGTCACTAATGCGCATCATTAAGTCCTGACTGATTCAGGAAATCCATCCGAGTATAATATGTCCAGTTGCTAGTTTAACGTTCCTAGTGAAGAATCTGTACGAACAGAAAAAGAAACAAAAAGTGCATATCAACAGGCCAGAATGAACAATATTAAACACTAACGAGATATAAGACATGGTTCACTTCTCTTCAAATTCATCCAACAAGGTAGCCACCTAAATTGCAGACTGAACAGCTGCCCAGATGAGAGTTTCAAGTGTGATACTGATAGAGCACATTACTGGGTCCACATTCTGAGAAACAAGAGACAACACCAATGAGGTGTGAGAACATACCAAAAATGACGTCTGGAGGTGGTAAAAGAATCTTGAACATAGGTATCAGTTTAAGGCATTTGACCCAGTCGAAGTCCTTGGGTCCTGGGACAAGCTAGGATACCATGTCAACCTAAGGCATTAGCATCAGTTTAACTGAAGGCACTGCAGTGTGACAATTGGATTATACGAATCACAAGAAGGAAACTATTTTCGATAGATAAGGATAACCTATTCTCTTGTTAAAGGAAAGCAAAGATGGATTTTACATGAAAGAAATGGCAATAAATCCAGTCATCATTGGAGCAAAGAGTTCTTGGATAGCAGGCACCAAAAGCAGTAGTCTCAATAACCTTTACTAGGACAGCAGGCACCCTCCAAGAGACATCCATTCTCATTGAAAACATTTTTGGCAGACACCAGTTGAAGGAGCAGATACCCAATTATGAGAGAAGAAATATCCAGTAACACCATCATCAACATAGTCACAGTAAATGGTAAAAGATACTGCGCAGAAGTGATCATACTTCTATCAATAGTGCTTTTCCTAATGGAAAGACAAAATGCTCTTCAGGGAAATCCATATCTTCGAGAACTTAAGGTGCAAAGAATAATGACTGCTCGATAATGAAAATGCCTGAAAAAACAATATGTAAAATTCTAACAAAAAGCAATAAGAAGGATTAGTGAATATAAGAAATGAAAGCAAAGTTTTCAAGATAAAAGAGGGTTCCTATTGTTGAAAATTAGTATAATCCATTATAACAACTGAAAATCATACCAAAAGATTTAACTGGCAAAACAAAGCATGAAAATCAGATAAAAGTACTTGGTAATGGAAAAATACCCAATGCCCATGTGGCCAAATTTGCTACCAATATCGGGGAAAAGAGAAAGGGGAAATTAATGTATACACAAAATGCTTGCAGACGCATTCCTCTTCATTAACTTGGAAGAAATTCCAAAGTGAAAAAAGTAATTACATCTAATCTGGCGAAAAAAATAGATCTATATGAGGATTCCCTTCTCCTAATAAGAGCACAAGGATCCTCCTTCCTGATTTCCATGTTAAAGAAAGAGCAAGAGTTGGACAGCATATCAATACACGACTTCATTGTACTAACACACACAATCATCTAATCTTTTACATTATATGTAAAAAAATGATAAGATTGTCATCCATATATAAAGTATGAGAGGCAAATCATAAGCTGAGAATAATTATGTGTACAATAATTATATTTTCAACTGGAGAACTTAGTTACTAAAAATCATACTGAATCCAGCGACTCTATACATTATTATAATCCAACAATTGAATTTTCTCTCAACAGATTAATTAACGTTCTGTAGAAGGCAGTGGAATGGAGCTTTGCTACGGCTTATCATAAAGCTCAATTTTATAGACTTTCCCAACTTTAAATTGGAGATCATAGACTAGTGCTAGAGTGAAGTCAATGTAAAAGGCAGTGTAGTGGAGATTTGCTGTGGTATCAAAGTTAGTTTACTCGGAGGAAAGAACAAACCGACCAGTGCTGGGAATAGTCAATGTCTGTGCCTGACTGAATCAAAGATATACCAGCTGAAATTGAGAATGTGTCAACCATAGATGTATAGATGTTCAAAGCAACAGGAGCATTGGCATTGACAGAGAATGAGATCAATTCTTTTCTTCTGTTAATCCCCAATGCTTTGACTCGATTAAGAACATACTACTGCACTGGGTGGAGCTATGAAAATGCTGTTAAAGGGATAAGACCTCAAATCTGCCAGGAAACATCCATGCTGCCACAGGAATCCTCAAGTCTTATACGGATCCAATTACCTTCCCGAAACATTCATGTGGAAAAAGTGAAAAGATTTTACTTGCAAAAGTGCCAATGTCACCAGGATAGTTTGTAAAAGCAAATTTCTAAAAGAGATAAGAAGAGATGCCAATTCCATAATGCCCATGATTACTAGTTAGCAAAACACTCAAAATTCCAATTAGGAAACTTGACTGAGAACACCCACGATTAGATGCCACAAATGAAAATCCAAGACTAGTTACAAGAAAATCCCCGCCTCATTTGGCAAATCTCAAGAACTTGAAGTCTCCACAAAATACAGATCATGAAAGGACACCACTTCCAAGAGTTAGCACATCACACCCTGACCAAAATGATAACAAGTGCTATTTGCACAATTATGCTCGATTGTTTGCCAGCCACAACTGTCTCACTCGTGCAAATACAAAGTTGCACAATTTGCTCAACAAAGTGAGCAACTGACAATAGACAGAAATATGTTGAAGATACCAAAAATACAAGCAAAATTGTCCAAGCTCCATACATCCTGCAGAAGGCACAATTTCCTTGCAAGGTCTTCAAAACAGCTAGTTTTTTTTTTTTTTTTGGGTCAAGTTCAACATCAGGTATAGCTCATACAACACACGAACCCTCCTTAAAGCAACATGTCCAGCGCACCATCCAATTCAAAGAGCGAGCTCATAAAAGATGGCAAAAACATCCGAACCATCCATTCCATGCGTCCCCACGAGCATATATTCCCAAGCATCCTTGCAGATATACTTTTGAAGGTACAAACTAGAGCCAACTTCCTCAGAAAACGATGATAATAGATTACGAGTTTCGGAGAGAGTGAGGGGTGAATTTATGTAGAGGGATCGAGCGAGCGAGCTCGTGGCCAAGTAACTCTCGATTTCAAAACACAAATAATATAAAACTAATTAGTCAGGTATATATAACTGGAGATTCAATTTAGAGAATCCTGAAGAGAGAGCTTCTACATACTGCACCAGACCAAATGAAAGTAGAAACAGATAATCTGCCATGATGTTACTGAATATCTGTAATCAGTTTCCTATCTCACAGTATAAGGTAGAAGCATCCGATAAGTCAAACTGCAACAGATGTGTGCCACCAAATGACCAAGCAAAGCAACAACTGGACTTAGCCTTGAAACAGGACTCACTTGTAGTTTTATCCGGTGAAGTTCACAGAAAAACGACGAGATCAAAACATCATCAAAGAGAGAGACTTGAACTGGCGCCCAAAATTAACCATTATACCAAAAATATCCCCAGAAGAAGCAATAAGTAAAAGCCCCAAATGACCAAGCTAAGCAACAACTAGACTTAGCCTCAGACACCAGATTCAACTGTAGTAATTGTAGTTTCATCCGGTGAAGTTCGCAGATGAAGATGAGAGCATGACATCATCGAAGAGAGAGACCTGAACTGGCACCAAAAATAAGCCATTCATACCATAAATACCCCATGAGAAGCAAAAAGTAAAAGCTTGCTAAATCAAATCATTCCCCTAAAAGTTAGTTAAAATGGGTCAATACACTACAACACAAACCATGTTGAATTCAGCATAATTGGCAACAAAAAGACTCCAACCTACAACAGGAAGAGATCACAGACGAGATAAATATATAAAAAGCAATGGAATAGATCTTTATCGCATCTCCTCTAATCCTTGAAAATGAAAATATCATAAACCAGATATTTGCAGAGTTCATGCAGCTACAGACAATCCTTGAAGAAAGATCCAGACATCGCTCATCACCCCGATTCACAAAGAAAAATAACAATTCAGTAGCTCAACTACACATAATTCCGTTAGATAATAACCTCCTGTCTTTCCCAACTCAAGAACTTGGATTCTCTAACAGCTTTGATCAATTAGCAACCACACACGGTCCTTAGGGAGATCGCTCTAAACTGGAACAAGCACCTGACAACTGAATAAATCCGTATAGCATGGAAGCCACTAGTTAATATGATCAGTGGGAGACTTAAACCTCAATAACGTTGATATTTTCCACATAAAATCAGAGCCTTCACCAACATTCTTTTGGAAATCGACCTAGCCAGATTCTTCAAAATTAATTCCTTCAAAGTAAATACCAAAGCAAATGAAACCGATCATCATTTAATATCTCCAATTAGAAGGAGGATGACTCCGAACAACCCTTGTGGAGCAGATGAGAAAGAGATACACTAGAACCATGAATTAGAGTATCTGGATGACAGATCATCATTGGCAAAGGATCATGCCGCAATTGTAGATTTATAATTCGTAGCCCTAAAGAGTTTCAACAGCCTAGAATCCACGAAGCCGCTGCTTGTCCAATTTCAAACAATCATCAACTCAGCCCCACAGAAGAACGCAATATATCTCCACTTCTCAAACCCGGGAAAACTTCAACCTGAAGAGGAACTAGAACTCAACAATAATTATCACACTACTCCCCAAAGATAATCAACTGAAGACCAACTTAAATCAAAACTAAAAATGCCTTGAAATCTTCAAAATTTCAGTCTATCGCCCGTCCTGAAGATGTGATCAAAGACTACTTCAGAACTCAAGCAAACAAAGACGGCATAATAGATCACCACTCCACCAAGAAACCCAAGCCACCTTATTCTATGTTAACTGACAAGCTTCTATGTATTTAGCATCCTTAGACGACACGCTCAGATGAAGAGATTGCTCCAAGAAGAAAGATGCAACTGCCAATCCACCGAAATCCAGAATCATCTTGTTAACAATTTAATGCAAAGATCAATCTATTGATGTACCATCCAACAACATCGCTTTATAAGTGAAAACACTACATACTATACATTTGGTGAAGTTTTTCCAAAAGGTAATGTTACTGCAAAAAACAGTGTGAAAAACAAATAATTACTTTGGAAAAGAACCTATCCTACAAGTTCCTAATAACATAGAGAAAAAAGGGACAAATAGGTCACACCAAAATAACATCTCACCCTAAGAAATTACCATCTAAACAACATCAATCTCATCTAATATAAGCACAAAAGAAATCTGACAAAAAATTCTTCAAATAAACCAACTTTAACATATTGACACGAAATTCAAGCAGACATACACACCAAGTCAAAACAAATGCATATGCAAGAAATGTATTGCCCAGTGAATGTGCAACAAATTATGTTGAAAAGAACAAGTCAGTGATAAATAACATGCAGGGTAGTTCCATCAAAGAAAAAGGTAAGACATACAAATCAAAAGTTTTCCATCCAATCACGTGGAGAAAGGCTCTAATCTGCCAAAGAATAACTGGTATTGGCTATCATCTTACAATATTCAGAAGACCATCCAAAATCAGTTAACAAAAGAAATAAAATCGAAAGTCATAAGTGCCAACTAAAGTTAGATTTGCCAAGAGTCTACTATAAGCACCATGACGAATATATCCTGCATAAACTAGTTGCATGATTTCCAAGAACTAAAGAACAAGTTTCATTCAAACCAATAACTGCATAAATTCCAAGAAGCAGGAGCTCATCCAATTTCAAACGATTATAAACTCAGCCCCACAGAAAACACAACAGATCACCAGCTGTCAAATCCAATAAGAATTCCAACCTGTAAAAGAAGCCTAGAAGGTTGTCAAAATTTCGGTCCATTGCTTGTCCTGAAGACAAAGACTTCTAGATCATCAGCTCAACCAAAGAGTGCAAGATAGATCATTAGTCCTCCAAAAAGCCCAAACGTCCTATTCTATGTAACCAACTGACCAGTTGCATTGTATTCATTTTCCTCAAACAACAGCCTCAGACAAAATGATCGCTCCAAGAAGAAAGAAGCCACTAATGAATACCAGAAGCAGCTCATAATACAACTAAACAGAAAGATCAATCAATGATGAATCAATCAATGATCAGAGGAGCACAAACCCTAACAATGCACACAACATGGCAGAGTCCCAGAAAGGTGAGGCGTAATCTTCGGAAAATAACATAGCATAAACAGAATCATACGGATTAAATAATCAATTCAGAAACAAAAAGAAAAGAAGAAGGATCAAGAGGGTGTTTTGGGAACGACGTCTCCTCTGAAGAGTACTTCCCAGAGGCTGTCAACTGAAAGGAGAAACACGTGCACAATCATAAACTCATGCTGAGACTGAAGGATGAGGTCATGAGGGACGGACCATTTCTAGGACGGAGACCCCGGCTAAGATGAAGCAGATCTGGATTGGATAGTGATCTGTTGGGGCACGTGCACCTTGCAAAGAAACAACCATCTCAGATCATACATCAACTAAACACTGACCTCCAAAGGAATGAGAATCGATTTTCGCATTAATCGGAAAAGTATGGGACTGTTGAACAAATTTCATTCAAACCGATAACTGCCTCGAGAAACAATAGCTTATCCAATTTCAGAAAATCATCAGCTTGTGGCAGATCACCACTTGTCAAGTTTGGCAAGATTCCAACCTGTGAGAGGATTAGGACTAGGTAATAATCAACTCCCAAAGATAAAAGACTGAAGAACAAAATTCAATCAAAAACCAGTAAACTTAAAAAAAGAAAAAAAAGACTACTTGTTTATAATCTCAACCCAAAAAAAAGAAAAAAAAGACAATAGACCATCAGTCCTCCAAAAAGCCCAAACTGACCAGCGTCATCATATTCATTTTTTCCTTGACATCCTCAGACAAACACAGACACTCCAAATCGATGAAGAATGGTAAATCGTGATTGGTACTCATGTAGCAAGAAATAACCGTCACTGAACACAGACACTCCAAATCGAAATTGAATTGGTAAAGTATTGCCTCGACCAAACTCTGACCTGCAAAGGAAAGAGAACATCTGATCGTTCCCCCTTAACTATATGATAACAGAAGTGGAAGACAGATTAGGAATTGATGCATACGCAGCAAGAAAGAACATCACTGATCACAGACACTTGATATCTAACTTGGCCAGGTAAAATATTGCCTCGATCAAACTCTGATCTGCGAAGGGAAGAGAACTAGATCTGATCTTTCGGATTAACTAGAAAATAACAGAAGTGGAGGAAAAGTTTCATTCAAACCAATGAAGCAGGGGCTCATCCAAATTCAAACAATTATCAACTCAGCCCCACAAAAATGCAACAGATCACCAGCTGTCAAATCCAGTAAAACTTCCAACCTGTAAAAGAACCCTTTCAGTCTTGTCCCGACGACAAAGACTTCTAGATCATCAACTCAACCAAACAGCGCAAGACAGATCATTAGTCTTTCAAAAAGCCCAAATGTGGTATTCTATGTAACCAACTGACCAGTTGCATTGTATTCATTGTCCTCAGACAAAATGATCGCTCCAAGAGGATAGAAGCCACTGCCAATTAACGGAATAGTGAATACCAGAATCAGCTCATGATACAATTAAATTTGGAAAGATCAATCAATGATCAGATGAGCGCAAACCCTAACGATTCCCACAACGTGGCAGAGTCCCCGAGAGGTGGAGGTGCAACCTTGGGAAAATAGCATCAGAATCAGACCGATTGAATAATCAATCAAGAAACGAAAAGAAAAGGAGAAGGATCAACACTGCGTTCCGGGAAACGATGTCTCTTATGAAGAGTACTTCGCAGAGGCTGTCAACTGAGAGGAGCGTGCGCAATCATAGACGCACGATGAGAAGGATGAAGACACGAGGGAGGGGGCTATTTCCCGGAAGGAGATACCGGCTTTCGAACTTCAATAAAAATAAGATGAAGCGAATCTGGATTGGATAGTGATCTGTAGGGGAGCATACACCTTGCAAAGAAAGAACCATCATAGATCATACATCGTCCAAACACCGACTCCAAAGGAATGAGAACCGGTATTCGCATTAATCATAAAATTATGGGACTGGAGAACAGAGTTCGTTCAAACCGATAACTGCCTCGAGAAACGACAACCATCGGCTCGAGGCAGATCAACACTCGTCAAGTCTGGCAAGCCTCCAACCTGTGAGAGAATTAGGACTAGACGATAATCAATTCCCAAAGATAAAAAGACTGAAGAACAGATTCCAATCAAAATCAGTAAATTTCAGTCTGTCGCCCGTTCTAAGATGTGATGAAAAGACTATACTAATTTCATCATCTCAACCCAAAAAAAAAGCCTCTGCGAATTCACAGCTCGTAAAACAAGCAAACGGAAAAGATGGATCGTTCGATGGATCAATAAAGGATCAGAGGAGGAGCTAAACCAAACCAAGAGAGGAAAGAAGCTACTGCCAATTTCACCGAAGAAGAAAGTTGGATTGATCGACGGGTCGATGAATCGCCAAAGCCTTCCTAGGACGAGGCGTAAACCAGGTAAAATCCCGATACATCGTCGTCGTCCCAAGCGAAACTCTGAAGAACCTCCGCAGCAAGTGGTGGGGGTTTCTGCAACCGGACGCCATCAAAAAGTCAAGACCAAGAAAGCAATCGGCCCCGCCAACGACCCAATCAAGAAACGGAAACAAAAAAGAAAGAAGAAGAAGAAGAAGAAGGGGTCCCGTGAAGAACGCCTTCATCGTGATTGCAGAGACGCCCTGGGGGGCGAGAGAGAAGAGGAAACGCGAGCGGAACCAGACGCGCGTCAATGAGGAGGAGGAGGAGAGAAGGGAAAGGACGGGGTTGGTATTTATAAAGGAAAGGAAACGCCGACTTCGGATAGACGTGTTGTTGATGATAAATAAATATAAATCCGAAGAAGTCAGGCTCGTGATGGGATGGACGGTTGTGATCTGTTGTTGTTGACCGGTTAAATTAGGAAAGTCGGTGGGCTGCCAATTCCGACCGTTTCGCTTGAGATGCACGCGGGAGATATCTTCCTTCGGTCGTGACGAGTCATCTTCGACCACGTGTCCCGGGTTGCTATGGTCGACGCATGGCTCTGACTTTAGAATATACCTCTAGCGTCTTCTGACCACTTTTCCTCTGAATTTAAAAATAAAATTTTTTTTTATTGAAGTTAAGAAATTAGGGGGTAACATTACTAGTACTAGTCCATGTATTTTTATTTGAAAAAAATCAAATCTGCCCCTCAACTTTCTTTTAGTCGAAAACTGTTAACTATTTTTGAAAATGCCACTCGTCATCTTTTTTTTTGCCATGTCCCATCTCTCCTTTATTTGAGGCTATCAGAAAATTATTTTAATGAGCTTTTTTCTTTTGTGAAAAAAAGAAAAATGACATCTACGTATATCTCTCTTTACTCACCACTCAAGATTGAGCTTGCAGCATTCATAGCTGCTCGCTACTTGAGCTCATGGCGGCCAAGTGGGTCTGCTCCTGCTCCTCCGGCCGCACCATAATGAGAGCTCTCTTATCTTGTTTTGACCAAAAATACTCTTGTTTCTCATGACTTAATTATGACAAAAGAACACACGAGCATTCAGAAGAGCAGCAAGTTCTATACTACGGAGTATGCAGCCAACCTATCCACCATAGCTGAACTTCAACAAATTCAATGGCCGCCACATTGCTGAGAATCTCCCCGCAATTTTTTTACCAATTCTGAGGTTAGCACGATAGTTGCATAATTTGCACCAGTTTCCAAACTTTTGATGAAGACAGATCAATGGACTTGGGACATGCGTTGGCTTTGACAATACCTTCTCACAATTAACCCTGGGCCCACCACCATACGTATAACACAAGCAAGAGCAAAAACATCATGCTCGAAAATTGTAATAGATGATGAAGACGCATGAGCTGAGGAACACAGATCAATTGACCTTGCTCCAGATAGATTTGAAATCAGCACAACAACTTGGAGTTGAGACCCCAGCTTCTTCAAATAAACAGATTCCAGAATTTGCAAGATGTTGCATAATCTACACTAGTTTTGTGAAATATCTCTATCAGGTGAAAAATCAAGGTGATAAATAACAAAGAAAAGAGGATGCGTTGGCTTTGACAATACCTTCTCACGATTAAGCCTCGGCCCGCCACCATACCACAAGTAAGAGCAAAATCACAATGCTCGAAAATTGTAATAGATGATGAAGACACAGGAGCTGAGAAAACACAAGATCAATGGACCTGGGATGTGTTGGCTTTGACAATACCTTCTCACAATTAAGCATGGGTCGCCACATTTAACACAAGCAAGAGCAAATCACAATGCTCGAAAATTGATGAAAACACAGGAGCTGAGGACTTCGAGTTGAGAGATCCTCTTCTCCCACTTCTCACTGATTCTGAGGTTCGCATGATCGTTTTGTGAAATATCCCACTTCTTCTTCGGTCTATTGCGTAAAAATTAGGATGGGGCTTGAGGTGCACGCGTATCTTCTTCGTCGGTCTATTGCGTAAAAATTAGGATGGGGCTCTTGACCACATGTTCTGAGTTGCTACGAGGGTCATACTTTCTAAAAGTGACGCTCGTGTATTTTTTTACACTGGGAGGAGCTACGAAGATGCTATCCAGGGTACAAATTTACCTGTTGCCGCATACATCCCTGTTGCCGCAAGGCACAATTTGCTTTCACGAAACGTCGTATATCTTACGCACAATTTGCTCAGCAAGTGAGCAACAATAGAGCCACACGAGCTTTCCTTGCAGATATAGTTTTGAAGGTACAAACTAGAGCCAGCTTCCTCAGAAAATGATATACGAGTTTCGAAGAGAACGAGGGGTGAATCCGTAGAGAACTAGATGGGATGTAACTTTCGATTTCAACACACAAGCTATAAAACTAATTTGTCGGGCAAATTAACAGGACTCAATTGTAGTTTCATCCTGCGAAGTTCACGGAAAAAGATGAGAGAGAACGACATCATCGAAGCTGGCGACCAAATCTCATATGTAGACTTAGCCTTAGACACA